AGCGTTCGATATGTCTAGTGAGCTTGAAGCAGAAAGCGTATATGACATGGTTGTAGTACACCGAGAACAAGATGTTGGTGTAGTAACACTGCAGTTATTTCAGCTATACACTCTCCGTAAACTTGGTCGCCCTTTCAAACCAGTCATACCCTTTGGTCCTCACCTCTTCGGAAGTGGAAAGACAAAATTCGTACAAAGTTACTTGGAACTGGTGAATAATATGGGTGAAAGTGCACTGATAGGTCTCGATTACGTTTGTGAGTCTGAGAAGGCCAACCGAAGAGGTTTCCTGGAGAAGCTGAAAAGGGCTTCGTTGCTCTTTGTGGATTTAAGGGAGTTGAAGCCAACTCGACCCATCGAGGAAAAACGCAACCTAAAGTGGGCAGTCTACTATTTATTGTACCGATCAGCTTGTAATCAGATGGGTCTACCGTTTATGAAGCCTGATGAAGCCTACAGACACATTCCTCCCTATCCAAGCTTTCTAATTCCAGAGCTACGGAAGACTTTGGGCATTCCTCCCGATCAATTTCTTTTGGTAGCTTTTGATGAAGTTGGTGTGTTTGATACAAAGGCAACTTTCTTTGAACTGGAGAAGAATGACAAAGGTGTGGTTCGACCATACAACGACTTTTTTGGTATCATTAGTCAATTGTGCGAAGAACCCGACTTGTTTTTTATTGTTGTTGGGAAAAGTGAAGGCTTAAATATATACAATTACGTAGCTTCAGTCTCAAGGGTTCAGTTAGTGTTTATTCCTCTTTCGCCGCTTGAGAAACATAGTATCGTGGAACATTTGGAGAAAAGTTCTTCCTTTTTATTCCCTGGGAGCCCAAAGGTTTCAGAAATTCTTTGTCATGAAGACTTCTCAACTAGTGAACTTGCAGAATTGTTGTTGGAATTGACTGGTGGTGTTCCTGGTTTACTTGTTCGAGCAATCAGTTACCTTTTGCTGTATAAATCATCCAACAACAATTTCTTATTATCTAAGGAAACCTTCTTGAACATAATGAATAGCTTTCTAGTAACAAATTATTGTGTTGCTCCATTCTTACCTCGTCTGATAAGTCTCAGTGAGCAGCGTAAGCGCTTGTTAAGAATGCTTACGTTATTATCTTTGTATCGTATTCGATTTGATTTTGATGAAACTGTGCAAATAAGCTCCAATTCTGATGTGTTTTTGTTTGATCTAGTTACAGATATGTGCCTCTATCGTCGATTGGTTATAGAACCAGACCGCAACGAACGCTATGAAGTGTTGCTTCCCAAGTTACTGATTGAATATATTGACCAAGGCTTAAAGGATGATCGTTTAGAATGGTTACTTTTACGGACTCTCAAGTCTCAATCTGTTGAATTCTTTTATGAGTCGAAATGTCGAATTTTGGAAGGTCTTATTGCTACACTGTTTTATTTACATTTTTGTCGGCATCCTACAAACAGCTCAATGTTTTCTACTCTTGGTCAATTGTCTCGTGTTTGGAATGAAATGAATTTACAATTTTCTTCCGAATCTGCTGCTTATTATATGAAATCTATACATTATACCAGAACTGTATCAGGAATGGAGAGAATGACATTTGGAAGCAATGATGAATGGGAAAGGATAGTGGAAGAAATGTTAGAATTTGAAAAGATATATATTCCATTTCATTCAACATTTCATAGTCCAGATATATTATTCAAGTTGCATGGAAGAACGAATGAGAAGAACTTGATGATTGTGGGTATTGCTTGTAAAGGCCGATGGAGTCGTAATGGTATTCGATGGAATGAAATTTTGGAAGAAGCTCACAAGTTTTTAAAACCAGTGCATGATCAAGTATTGACTAGTCATCCTACACGGCATTGTATGTTGATTATTATGAGTACTCAGTTAGCGACCAACGTATCTGAGGACTTGAATCATTCTAGTCGTTGTTATTCATCTGGCGATAGTGTTGAAGATTTCGTGATTCCTCGCAACTGTGAATTGGTTATTCTTTCTGAAGCTGATGTAGAAAACTTTATTGGCAAAGACATTTTATTGAATTTAAGGAAGGCTTTCAAGTCTGTGGATAATCCACATTCGAGAAATATTGGCATTTCAACCCTACAAGAAATAGTTTTATTTCTTTCCAAAAATATTTAGGAATATCTTGTTTTAATGTCTTAGAAGTTTTCTAAAACAAATAATTTTCAAAAGTTGTTATAAATCAGGGGCTGTTTTATAAGACACTGTCAAAAACTATTTTAAACTTTTGCACAATTTATTCTTCTTACCATAGTTGCATGTTTTGTATGACATAAACGACGGCTGAATTCTGAATTTCAAGCTCGACTATTTTTCCATTGAAAACGATGAAATAGATTGGATTTTGGATATCCTTCAAAACTTGACAACTTATTGCCACATATAGTCGTGCTTGTCTTGAATCTTCTTTTACTTGTTGTCAGAGAGGATACTGCGTTACTTTTTTTTCCAACCAGAAGAGCTTATTAAAGGGATCCGCGATATATACATTTCAACTTGTTGTCATCAGGTTCTCATCGTTAAATGAAGATGATACTATGTATCTATTAAGAAAAATTGAGAAATTCACATCGTATTAATCTTACTCCATTTTAGGAAAAATATTTTCTGCGTACTGAAGGATCTACTAGCAAAGCACTAGGCGATTTTTCGAAACTATTTATATAACCCATACAAAAAATTAGCAACAAACTTTTGCATTCATAGATATTATAGCATATGAACTTTTTCTGAAAAAGAATCACATTTCCAAAGTTTCAAAACCAGTATATACTACGGAAGAAATTTTGAAGCAAGCTTTCTAGGCTGCCTTGGCGCTATCAAAACTTTAAAACAACATTTTGGAAAAAGAAATTGCTTTCAATTTTTGAAACGGAGTTTTGTTGATCTTCAATGATGCGTCTTTTATAATTACAGTAGGATTCCGCCGGTAAATTTTGTGATCGCGCATATCCGAAAGTTGGGTGGTCTGGCATGTCGTCGTATCAGCCAAGCATATCGGAAGCAGATTTGTCAGTATTTGAAAGAAACACGGAAGATACTTTTGAGTGTGTTATCCACCCCGTGACGTTGTTGGATGTTTCGGAAGACCTCCATGGCTTCTCTATCTTGGAGTCTTTTGCGAAGGACAGAAAATCAGTAATAAAGACCAGGTTCCGAGGAGAAGATTCTGAAGAAATCATTCTCAAACTACTGCAGCTATTAGAAAGAAGAAACCTTGTTACGGAAGAAGCCCGCAAGGAAGCAAGGTCGAAGCTGCTAGGAGCTGAAAATTCTTCTCTAGTAGAGCAAGGAGCCTTTTCTTGGGATGCTAGCTGTGGCAAGACGCTAGGATATTGGACACATAGTGTACAAGGGCCTTCTTTCATAGTTGGTTATGCTTCTTTGGATAATATACAAGTCGGACAGACAGTTATTAGCTTAGTTCAGCTCACTGAACCTGTCAATTTAGGCTCTTTAAATGGTTCTCTTACCGAATTTGTTGGTTTGGTTTTGACCGGAAGTGGTACTGGCATGGTTTATTCTGCTCCAGAAACTGCAAAATCTGTTGCCAGTCTACTAGCAGACGCAGAATTTCGTGAAGAAAGTTTTAATTGTCCTACAGATGATGATTTAAGGATAGCTATCCATCGTTTTGTGGAACGCCAATCAGCACGTAAAGAACAAAGGGAGGAGAATGCCGTGAAACCGCTTAATCAACAAATGCATCATGAGAGCAATGATGCAACTTTGAATCAAACCATCGGCATAATGAATGAAAAGATATACGCAAGTTCAAATTCTGTTCATCGTCGCTATCATCTTCTAGGATATTGGACCTCTGTTATGTTCTTGTATCCTTTTGTCTTAGTTATTGCTGACCTAAAGCGTCGTTTGCCACATTACCTGTCAGACTTTGTTTTCGAAATCAACCAAAGACGTGCTCAACAGAAATACTTGTTTGCCAGTATATTTCTAATTTTTACCGCAACACTTCCTGCCATTGTCTTTGGCTATATTGTGGAAAGAACCACTCATGGGCAGATCGGTGTGATAGAGTGTCTCTTTTCTCAAGGGGTACTCGGTCTGGGGTTTGCACTATTTAGTGGTCAACCTCTCATGGTTAATATGATTACTGGGCCTACTGTTGTTTATATTCAAGTACTTATGCGATGGTCAGACAAGCTAGGATTCGAGTTCCTTCCGTTCTATGCATGGACTGGAATATGGATGGGCATCTTTCTTATTTTATCAGGCTGTCTTAATACAGCTGCTCTTATTCCTTATTTGGGAAGGTTCACGGACGAAATCTTTCAGACCTTCATTGGTTTCATTTTCATTCAGTATTGGTTTACTGAATTGATTCGAATTACACATCAT